TTTCAGGTTCTCACAGTGTTAATCTTTGTAGTATTTTTCTAGAAAAGTGTCTTTCAGAAAATTTTCGGAAATACCTTTTTTGTCTTCAAAAGCAGCATTAATTTTAAATCTATTTGTATGTACCAGATGCTGCTTGACAGGTTCTTTGACTAGGCTTCTGTTACTAGTTGTCTTCTTGCTGTATGACATCTGGTGATGCTTGAAGAAATCTAAAATAGTATTTTTATGTTTATCTTCTTTAAGAGGAAGCTGAGCAGGGTACCCAGCACAGTTCTTGCGGCAAACATCAAAACATGATGTGTTTAGTAGAAGTAGAATCCATGGTACTCTGAATCTAAGCAAGAGGACTTGGCTTACCAAATGAGACATATCACTGAGGTGCTTAACAAGGATATGTCTTTGAATAGGTGATTACAAAGAGTAAGACCAAAGTGAAACTACTGTGCATGTTTCAGACAATTCAAGCTTTTCTGACATGCGTTTTTGGCAGCAGCTAAGCTGGGAGAATGTATGACTTTGTACTTAGGTCACTTTGCATGTGTAATTGGTAATACACGTTCTGCCATTGTTTTATAATGGTATGCTGTCAAGTCGGAATAAGCTGTTCTTGGCACAGTATGTTTAGAAGGATGAATCAAGTTGAAGGGAAATCTTTCAATACATTTGTTAAAATTTCTGTAATGTGACACCTTTAAACAACAACAGCACAGAGTATTTGATAGAAAATTAAGGAATCATTCTAAGCTTTTCCCATTGCCATGCTGTATAAGCTGGGCTCAGCAGCATTTTTATCTCAGTGTTACACATCTGGGAAACAGAGGCACATAATCTTGCATTCCTCATTTAAGAATGAGGGACTTGTTCTCTATTTTTCATCTACTGAAGTAACGCAGTGGCCAAGATCAACTTACTAAAGCTGTATTATGTGGCTTTGCCTTACTAAAGTGGTCTGCTGTGGTTCTTTGACTCACAAAGCTGAAATAATAGGTGAGGTATGGATTGGTCATTCATTTTGGGCACCTGTTCCTAAAACTGAATTCTACCCTTTAGATGTGATATGCTATCTTATCATTACTAAGTTTGCAATCTGGAGTGTCACTTAAATTATCTAGAACCAAGCAATTTTTTTTTATAGCCTTTAAGGTTGATTTGATGGCCTTTCTGGCTGATTGCAAGAAAGCTAATGAGCAAAATCTCAGTTTTGGAGTTAAAAGTTTTTTAATATTGCTTCTGTGGGATCAACTGTGAGCCTTCACTTGTTGTGGAGGGTGAACAAGGGGCCTTGATACTCCCACTGTAAAGAACATGTTGTTTGCACATAAAATAGCAAAAATTGAGATTGGAATGTCTTTATTCTCTGAATATTCTAAACCCTTTTAGACTTGCAAATCTCTGACTTCATTGCTTATTGTTGTTTCCTGGAAGAGTAGCAAAATTTCTGAACTTGTCTCTGGAGTTTCACAAAACCTTATCTAAATGCTCTACAGATTTTTAAGCTGTGGTTTGTTCTTGATGTACAAATTTTGGTTAATTATTAGTTTCATTTTTCACAAAAGGCTCTTGAACCAAGCTTAACATTCTAACAATCTGATCTGCCTTTAGGACACAATACAAAGTCTGCAGTATTCTGCTGGGCTTATTCTCATTGTTCTTAGCCATCAGCTGTCTTTTTCCTCTCTTTTTCAGTGGCAAAGCATTTTTAGCTGTAATCTTATTAACTGGGCACTTACCCTATTAATTTGGACTATACCTTTATTCCCAAATTCTTGGTTCTGGCTTGGAGGAATGCGGCAGAGTGTTTGGTTGATTTTGTATGTTGTTTTGTTCATAGTGTAACTCTGTTAAAGCACTGCTGACAAAAGCAATTGTTCGAATTATCTGTGACGGCCGCTCTTGATTTTTGCCATTTATGGTGTTTATCAACTATTGTTCGTATCCTTTATGAAGGTTACCTTTAGGTACTCTTTCAGATGTACTTCTGAAAGAAAAGTGGGCTTCAGATCTTTCTCCTGACAATATCATGGGATAACTTGTTTTCACTATCATCAGTTTCAAATGGAAAACACTTAATGCTGGAACCAGCTGTAGCAATAGCTGATGTATTAGAAGTGTTGCACTTAAGGGCAGGAGGAGAGCCTAGTGAATGTGAAACAGATATTGCATGTATTCTTGTGTGGGCATTGCTGAAGACAGTGTACAGCATGTGAGGCTAATCAAAGTGGTATTTAAGTTTAGTCATGTGTAAGTTTAAAAACCAAAAGCTACTGACAGCGATTTTTTTTTTTTTTTGCAACATTCTCTTGCAAACTGAACAAGTAAATCCTTACATTTCTGAACTTTTCAATGCAGTAAGTTCTTGCAAAATATTTTGATGTTGAGAAATTCAGTATTGCCACCCATGTATCACTATGCAATCTTCTAAATAGTGAAGCATACTGTAAAGTTTCTGGGGAAAAAAAATCTATAAAAGCATCTACAATTTTTTTTCTTCTGTTTGCTTACTGACATGTTGTTGGATAATCTATTAATAACAGACTCTGCCCGTATTCATCTTCACTAAGTAATACATGTAATGGAAAAATGTGGTCAAGTTTGGGTATCTTAGGGTTGTTCTCACAACGGATTTTTCCTTGAGCACTTCAAATTTTGATCTCTTCAAGCAGTGCTTAAAAATCTGTAAATACACCTCTCAAACACCTTCGTTTTAAACTGTTTTCCCAATAACTTCCTGCAGCATAAAAAAAAAACCCCCGCACAAAAACCCCCAAAACCACCACCGGAAAAATACCCACCAAACCCACAAACAAAAAACCAGTCCCCCCAACAGAAAAAAAACCTCAAACCCAAAACTAGTAGTTGGATAAAGTCTGAAAAGTTCTGTCGTCTTCTCATTGGTAAGACTGATACTTTCTTCTAGGTCTGCAAGTAATGAGGAGGAAGGTTCTAGCAATAGACTCTCTTACGAATTAACCTTCTGTTATTACTTAAGGCTGCATA